GACTTTATATGTAAAGGATGTATAGAACAAATAAAGCAGAAGTTAATAAAACTGTGGTTTGACGAATTTAAATGATCTAGTCGGCTGTCTGATTGATTTAGTATTTTTTTTTCTTTGTTATTGATTTAATTTTTATACTTAAAGATTTCTGTGGTTTGCTGCTTAGAACCGGTCCAAGGAGTAGAATATTATTCGGGGCCCATCCTCTGGGGCCCTCTGTCCTTCTGTTTATGCTGTCCAAGGATTGAAGTAGTGAAGAATCTGCTTTGATGCAAATTTGATGGACTAATAATTTATGAAAAATTAAATAAGGTATTAAAATAAATAAGTGGAGGATAGAGACTAAAACATCCATTTTTGAAATAAGGATCCACTCAGAGCAGAAATTTAGCCTAAATTGTATAAAACAACTTTAGATTTTACATCGTTAAGCATTTAAAATGAGAAACCTTTCGGACCTGCTTTTCCCAAAATTCAATATATTTTTAATTACATGTTTTTGCATTTTATACCGCTGAAAATGTCTTTCAAGATTAAAAATTTGTTTATTTGAACTCAGGATTTGTTTGTTACATCAATCAATTAATGGAAAAATAATCACTAGATTAAAATATGGCTAAAAATAATGGAGATCATTTCTGATCTGTTCTGACATTTCACCAGCTTTGACAAAGGGAGCAAATTTATTAAAGTGAAGATTATTACTGGATCGTTGGTTTATATTAATGTGCAGGGGCCCCTGAACAGGAGCAAGGTTTGCTTATAGTGGGGGCTGGCTCCTCTTGGGGTTGGATGAAGAACCTGAACATTCAGCAGGATCCATATCGAAATATCTGAGATTTAAAAACTCTGACTTTTCTTCTGTCAAAAGGTCATTTAGTTAAAAAATTAAGTGGAAAAAATAAATAATGAGAATTTCGTTCCTGATCAAAAAGTGAAAATAATTGGTGTGGGCTCAGGGGCCCACACCAGCAGGGGCCCTTAGAGGACTTGATAAAAGTTCCCATTTAAAGGAATATTTATATGTTTATATGAACTGACATTTTAAAGATTGCTGATAAAATAAAACTTTGCTGAGCTTCTGTTGACTGAGCAGGCGGACCAAAAGGCTCAGAGACAAACTGATTCAGAGTTTAGTTTCTCATGCGGTTAATCAAAGGACTTTACGGCTGTTCACTGGGGACTAAAACATGGATTAAACACACAACAGGGAAAAAGTTTGCTTAAACTGAGACGTGAGGAACCCTGAAGTAAACAGTGTCTTCACTGCAGGTGGACCCCCCAGAACCACACTTGGTTGGGGCCTCTTACAACCTTGGGTCGGCCTTGTAGATCAGAGTCTCTGTCAGCTTCTATGGTACGAATAATCACGGCTTTCTCTGCTGGGAGAACGGGTCCAGAGATGATGATGATAATGATGATCTGCTGCGCTTGCTGTCGGTTCCAGTCCAGTGATTTTAGAGGCTGTTAGTGAGGAAGTTACAGAGCAGAACAACCACTCACTGTTCACCATTATCTCACTGGATTAACTGGATGAGCTGGGGGCTTAGAGGACGCTTGAACCAAAACACAGAGAGGGGGAGGAGGGGGGTACAGAGGACAAGCAGGAGAGGAGAACAAAGGCTGGATGGAGAAGTAGGGTCCCTGTTCCGTTTAAACGCCCTCAGGCTGTACGTCCAACATTAGAGCCGCCTGATTGTTGACTTGATCAGCTTCAATCAACCTGATGATTTTAATCAGATTTTTTAATCTCTTCTAAACAGAGATGAAATTATTAAACCTGTCCTCCCACATGTGGCCCTGATTTCAACGCTGGCATCAGTTTGTAATGTCAAGACCCGACCCGGAAGCAGTGACGACACCACGGTGTGGAGGTGGATCTGGCTCCCGGTTCTTTCACTGGAACTTGTTGGGGTTTCGGTGTGACTCACACGAGTGTAAATTGTGCATCCTGTCAAATGAAAGACCTCTTAGTGCTCATTATCGTGTTACTGTGGAGACTGACTCACCTGGCTGTCACCTTGCCCCAGCCTGCGCTCAGACTGCCAGACTCCAGTCCTGACGCCGGCATGCAGGGAGCAGGAACCGGGCTCTCTTGCCTCCTCCAGGTTCTGTCCGCCCTGTATTTGTCTGAGTATTGGACCCCGAGCAGAACCTGTTTCATGTTCTACCCATAAATACTAAAACAAAGTTGTTCTGTTGGGACTGTTGGTGCTGCCAAGGTCTGGGTTTGGCTCTGAACAGCATGTCTCTGTCAGAGGATGACACTGTGTATTAGTTCAGGCTAGGTCAGAGGTTACCGTGTGTGTGTGTGTGTGTGTGTGTGTGTGTGTG